AAACACACCACAAATAAGGTTTCTCTCCTGTATGGCTCCTCAAATGATGCTTAAGATTAGAAGCGGCTGAAAAGCATTTCTCACACTCCGAACAAAAATATATTTTTTAACATTCTCTCCACTTTGAACGAAATGACGTTTGGGAAGAGATTAATATAATTAAACACAGGCAGTAAAAATACAGTTTTTAGCCATACCCTGTAACTTTAAAACTACACATCCCATCTTCATAATTACATATTTGGAATCAGCACACTTAAAACATAAACATAACCAATAATCAGCCAAATCCATCCAGGGGTTAAAAAGTTAGCTGGAGGTCCCTTTACTATGACCGACTGCAACACATTTTCCTGCCCAAAACAATTCCATAGATTTGGGCTGTGGTCGGTCTATTTCAGGCTGAAAAAAAGACTAAGTCCCATCGCCGAATGGGACTTAGTCTCTGCAGCTGAAATAATTTCCCATTTACTGAACCAAGTGGGAAATAGCAAGGCAGGCACAAAGGGTTTACACCAGGTCTGGGGACACAGGGGACACCGTCTTAAAGGGGCCGTGTCCCCAACAAGTCTGGGGACACGGCCTTAAAGGGGCAGTGTCCCAATCTTCCTGATGTCCCAAAAAGGTGTTTAAAGGGCCAGCACCAGTCACATAAAGAGTCCATAAGCCCCAATATGCCCACCGACAGTCTTAAAGGGCCATACACACCAAATAAAAGTGCATACATTTTCACAATCTCCCAGGGGCCATAGTCATGCGGGAGGAGGCTGGCAAAGAGGCTTCTCCACAACCCAGGGAAACAGGGCAATTTGCCATTAAAAGGGCCCGTTACAAATAGCAGTTTGCCTTAACAGGTGTCAATCCATATCTGCCAAGTGACCCGATGTGAGAGGGACAGTCCCTATTCTGCTCTGGTGTGCCAGGGAACCTTAGGACAGGTGTCAATCCATATCTGCCAAGTGACCCGATGTAGGGGGAACAGTCCCTATTCTGCTCTGTGTCAGTGTGTATCAGGGATCCTTAGGACAGGTGTCAATCCATATCTGCCAAGTGACCCTATGTAGGGGGAGCAGTCTCTATTCTGCTCTGTGTCCGTGTGCATCAGGGGCTCTGAGGACAGGTGTCAATCCATATGTCAAGGTGTCAATATGTCATATGTCAGGTGTCAATCCATATTGATTGTGATTTAGGAATGTTAGGTGATTTCTGCCCTTTATGGATTAAAACCAGACTCTGTATCAACTGTGTAATTTTCCATGGGAGTTTTGCCATGGATCCCCCTCCGGCATGCCACAGTCCAGGTGTTAGTCCCCTTGAAACAACTTTTCCATCCCTATTGTGGCCAGAAAGAGTCCCTGTGTGTTTTAAAATTCGCCTCCCATTGAAGTCAATGGCGTTTCGGGCGGTTCGCCGGTTCGCGAACATTTGCGGAAGTTCGCGTTCGCCGTTCGCGAACCGAAAATTTCGGGTTCGCGACATCACTAGTAGACACATCTCACACACATCTCACACACACACACACACACACATCATACTGAAACTGCAGAGATCTATGAAAGATACAACAAAGCACCCACCAAACCAAAAGCTCTCTCCCTGTGTTACAGGAATATCATCCAGAGTACTCCCAACACCCTCCTTTGTGGCCCAATGGGCAATTGAGACAGGGATACTGTGGACCGAAACAGAATGGTCCAACTCCCTTTCGGCTCTAAAGGGACAGACTCAATGTTATTCTCACATAGAAGCACATAAAAATCTAGTATACCGCTAGTACCTGATGCCTGGCAGGCTACATAAAATTTATCCCACAGTACCCAGTAATTGTTGGAGATGTGGAGAAGTGGATGGTCATATGACACATATGTTGGAGCTGTAGGGATATACAGCCACTGTGGACCGCAGTAAATCTTTATTCACAAAGGTGGATCCTGACTTGCCATCCCTAGATGTCCAAGCAGGACTTTTTTTTTTTTTTTTTTAAACTACCCAACTCAATAAAGGCCGCACACAAACAACTGTTCTTGCTCACCATGCTGGCAGCTAGAAACCAAATAGCCATGCATTGGAAGCAACCTACATGTCCACCCACATCACACATGCTGGATAAACTTAAGCAATATTACATGTATGAAAAAATGTCACTTATATCCACCAAACATACGGAGGCATTTGATATAGCGTGGGAAAAGTGGAAGCACAAAGGCTTACTGGGAATGGTAACTTGAATTGAGACTAGGTCGCTGAACTACTCTAGGCAACACTGTGACACAATGTACTAATTGCATTAAAACAAGAATACAGAGCAGGAGTGCCGGATGTATTAGATAGCTCCATAAGAAAAAGCATACTGTTATTGGAACTTGTGACTCGAGACTATGATTCTGTGAAAAAGTGAACATCCCTCTACCCCCTTCCTCCTGTACCCTCCCCCATCACCCATGTTTATGCACATACAACAAAATAAACATTTAACTCTAAAAAAATAAAAAATTTAAATTTTTTTTTAAAAAAATGGATACGATAAACAGTGTGTGTCAAGACATTTTAAAGAAAAGCATAAATGTGATCCACAATTTTTTGAGTTTTTGGCAATCCAAAAAGTAAAATTAAACTTGAGAGGTGATGACATTGTGAAAAATTTGGGTAAATGTGAAATGAGATGGATTTTTAATTTAAATACTTTATATATATTTTTATAAAGTTTTTTGTATATTTGATCATTAAATAAGTTTTTAATGTATATTAAGTACAGTTTATTAGTGCACTTTACGGTTTATATATTTGTGAATAAAGTAGATTTCTAACTTCACATTGTTAGCACCATTTTTGTTTTTTACACTTTTTTATATAATTATTGGAATGCCTCCATTACAATATTCCTCATACACTTGTTTTATTTATTTCTTTTCCCTGTATATGCTGCTCTCTATGAATATGAACATTGCGATTTTGCACCAATCGCAAACAAGATATACTTTGTCAAGCAGCGATGTCTCCTATGGGTAATGTAGTATGTGATTGCCGACTGGATGTGACGCTAACGTTTAGTCCATCGCGTCACTTCTGGTCGGCGAACCAGGAAGTGAAAACATTTATTTCAAAAGAAACTGAAGACAGTTGGGGAGACGCTCCCTTATTGGAGGAAGACGCAGGTGGGAGTTGTCAGAATGGATTTAAAAACGGAATTAGGAACCAGGACGATTATACCGATTGAAAAAACCCCATTAAGTGGCGAAACGCGTCTCGGAATTGGAGGACTTTTACTTTTATTATATTTGATTTATTTTATCAAATTGTTGGTTCATAAATTAAAAGAGAGTCTTGGAAAAGAGTTCCTCATTCTCTGCAGCATCCTTTCCGGTTCCTGAAAGGTAGTGTCACCCCTTTTATTGACACAAAGTGGATATTTTGGAGCCAGTTAACAAACAGGCTCCAATGAAGGTGAGCAATATATCTATACAGTATATTTGAGGTCTGTATAAATCAGTGTCACCTAGATTGTTTTCTCTATTTTGTTTTATCTCCATCTCTACAACGGGGGAGTGAATACACTAAAGAAGGTTCTCTGGTATACCTGAAATTCCCGATTCTCCTGTTCTGAACCGATATCGAAAAAGACTCAGAAAAATGTGAGTGTATGGATACATCCTCTTCAATTTATTAACCCATCATCCATAATACAATATCATACTATTATATTATCTTTTTGTTTGCTTTTCTATGAAAAAATAAATAAATAAAAATTCTATATTCAACCAAGGGGTAAGTGTAATGTATCTAAGCGCTGCTCGACATTGTGGATCTGGCCTATAAAAAGAGTTTGCTCCTCCTGGCCCTGTCACTAGATGCCAAGAAGGCCTTCGAGAGGGTCAGGTGGGATTTTTTAGATGTAGCTCTAGAGGCTTTTGGTATACATAGAGATATTGAAGTATCCATAATAACCTTATATACTTCTCCAACAGCTAAGGTGGTTGATAACAGGTTTTCCTCAGAGTGGTCCCAACTAAAAAAAATGGGAC